AAAGTCACACGTTAGCAATCCAACAAATGACTGATGAATGAGAACAACTGCATACAGACCTCCCTCAAATCACTCCCTTATTGACCTCTATAAAGGCCCACAGTCCCTCCATAGCCTCAAGACAAAGCAGAGTACCTGGCAGTTCATGTTGTCCTCTGCTTCAATAAGTTTTCCTCGATATACCTCACCAGTGTTTGTCTCACATGTAACAATATGGCCCTCAGCTTCATGCAGGACTTTAATTGGCACACCAATCGACATCTTGGCAGGAAGAGTTCTATAATGAGAAAGACAAAAGGTCATCTTGTAGAGACTGAAAAAGCCTGGCACTCCACAAAACCAAAACTAAAAGAGAAAAACATCATAGTGTTATCATGCTATAAGCAGAAAATGATCATGGAGAAGGAAGAACCATCAGTGCTTGACTTGTTCTCATTAAGAACCTTTTATTGAGAAGATTGAAATCATCCTGTGTGTTTAAGAGACCAAGGGGAATACGCAGTTGGCTCCTTAGGTGAGGATCCATGGCTTTCAGCCACGAGTTCGGATTTTATACTGAAGCCAGTGAGGGAACACTGCAAGATCCGGTGAAAAAGCAGTCGCATTTACAAGATAGATGGAACATACAGTTTAAAAGTCGAGTAACTTCTAACGCCTGCAGCAGAGAGGCACGAGGAGACAGGAAAAGATATAGATGCACAGGGTCTTTTCAGAGAAAATCTGCGAGGAACGATTTCACGATGATTTGCCTGATTGCTTCGAAAAACGCTGACCCACAGAGTTATAGTGTGAAAAACCATATATTTGGGAAGCAAACCAATAACCGTTCCCAAAGCTAGAGAAGCGATGGTGATGTTTGGGTGCCCGAGACTTCCCGCCCTCCTCCCTCTCCCAGCCCCGCTGAGCACCAGCCTCTCCCGCTCCCAGCCCCAAGGCTTCCTCTTGCCCGCCCTCGGTCTCCTCTGGCCGCCCTCGGCCTCTCCTTACCGACTGAGGCCTACACTCCTGCTCTTCGGTTCTGGGACAAATGTAGCGTGAGGCAAGCGAATGGCGGGCCCCGCGCTCCCAGAATGCCAAGCGTTCCCAAAATGCCGCGCGCAGGGCCCCGCCCCTTTCCTTTCGCCCAGCTAGAAGCGCAGTCTGATCTACGCAACTGCCTCACCCCGCCGGCTAGGAAACATGGGCTCGGGCACTGCAGTTCCGGTGTCCGGAGACAGCAGATGACGGCGGGCGGGGCTGCCGGAAACCTCCACCCGTGAGCCGGCGAGGAGATGGGGATGCTTGCACTTCCAAACACCCCACACCAAGGACCGGCCGGACAGCAAGGCGGAGATCCGGGGCTTGGACCCTCGACTCGGGGACGAGAGGATGCGGGACTGAGGACAATTTACCCTTTGGATCCTGTCATCGTCAGGTAAGGGGCATCTTAAGCAAGGAAAAATATAGACAAGCAAACTGAGATCTAGAGCGTAGCCGAGCCCGGCCCGGAACAAATAAAGACCGCTAGAGAAAGGTTGCCTGGAGCCTCTATAAAACATGAGGCAGAGTCAGACACCTGGGCTGGCAAGCAAACAAGTCTGGAGATGGGAAAGGGGAAGAGTCACTGAAGAGTCTGCGTTCACGCGCGCCCGGCCCTCCGGGCGGAGTTGAGAGAAAGGGGTGTGGCTTCCTGGGGACACGTCAGGGAAGGGCCTGCGAATCAGAGCGAGGATTGGGAAAGAGGGCGGGACCATCTAAAGCCGAGACTGTGAATGGCAGGGACAGGCATAAATCAGGAGGCTGGGACCTCTAGGAACCGAAGTTTGGGGCAGGGAAAGGGCGGGCTTAAGTAAAGGAGCGGAGCCTCAGGTCTGGAAGGGCCTGGGCGGGGCTTGGGGCGGCCCAGCCGCCGCCTCCCCTTCTATCCACCACGGTGGCGCCCCAGGAATCTGACACGCACCGGCCGCGTTCCCAGCGCAGCCGAAGCCGAAGCTGCAACCTGCGCCGGGTTGGGGCCATGGGCGCCCCGCGCCACTCGGGTCATGAGGACGCAGGCGGAGGCAGCAGGGTCGCCGCTCGAGCCCGGTCAGTGCCTCCCTGAGGACCCAGCCCTCACCCCGGGGACCGAGGGGGACCCGCCCTAACGCAGGGCAGGGTTCGGCCGCGCGACCTTGGGCCGACTTCGGCCTCAGCCCTGACTATGAAGCTTCGAGCATGAACCTAGCCAGGAGGACACCTCTGCCTGGGCTCCCTCTTTCTACCTTAGTTCATTTGGGGTTTCCTGATTCTCCCAGGACTGAAATGCCTTATGGCGGCCTTGGGGGAAGGTCCGGATGGCCCTGGCGTCACCTTCCCCAGAAGCGAAAAGTCCTGTTTCGGGAGAGCCTTCCCCTCTGGGATCTATGAAGATCCTGAGGCCGAGAATCCGAGAGAACTGTCCTATAGCTCTGGGCAATGGGAGAGTCTTTTCACGACTTCCCAGACTTGGCCGCTTGTTTGGCTGGCTACAGATCTTCACTTTAGGATTCCTTCTGTATCAAGGGGGCAGAGCCCTTTGCTTGTCCAAGAAGTGGAGAAAGGAGGAAGTCATAATTCTTGCTGTGCTTAAGGCACAGGTTTGATGTTCCTAACTGTGAGATGAGTGAACATCACAGGAAAGAGATCAAGAGCTACCTGGATCCTGTCCCTAAGGTGTTAATAGGACAGTAACATCATACCATGGGAGTAGTCTCTTTTATGATTACAGAATGGAATTGAGCCTGAAGCTGTACTGGGATTTACAGCTCTACTCTTCTAATTTCCTAACTCTCTCATCTTTTATAAGCTATTTGCCTTTCCTGAGCCTCAGCTAGTAATGGTTCACACTTGTAGGGAGCTAAGAGACAGGCACTGTGCTAAATTGTCTATATGTCGTTATTTTTTTTCTTTTTTTTTTTTTTGGTCGGTCGTGGGGCTTGAACTCTGGGCTTGGGCGCTGTCCCTGTGCTCTTCAGCTCAAGGCGAGCACTCTACCGCTTGAGCCACAGCACCACTTCCAGTTTTCTAGTGGTTTTATTGGAGATTAGAGTTTCACGGACTTTCCTTGCCCTGGCTGGCTTTGAACCGCGATCCTCAGATCTAAGCCTCCTGAGTAGCTAGGATTACAGGCGTGAGCACTAGCACCTGGCTGTCTGTTATTTTTCTTAGTTAAGTAATTACTGCTGTTATTTACACTTTTGCAGGTGAGCAAATTGAGGCTTAAAGGGGTTAAGTGTTCAAGAACAGTCTTCCTTCCCTAATGACAGCTGAACTAAGCCAGGACTTTCTTTTTGTTTGTTTCTAGTTTAATTTATTATTTTTTATTGTCAGGGTAGTATATAGAGGGGGTTTCAGTTACATAAGTAAGGTAAAGAGTACATTTCTTGTCAACCTTGTTACCCCTTCCCTCAATTTTCTCCTACTTTCCCTCCTCCCAACACCTCCCCCCAAGTTGTACAGATCATCTCCAACATTTTGTTTTGTGTATCTCACAGTTAGATTGGTTGCCCCCTTGTCCTTTGTCTGTTGTTCTCCTTTCCTTCCCTAATTCAAATAAACATATACATAATACCAGGGTGCCAAAATCAAATACAGTTACAACAGAGGATATACCATAGGGGGAAGAACATAAAAAAGAAACAAAAAAATCACATAGTACATTAAAAACAACAACAACAAAGAAAAACATCTGTGCCCATGTCTTGGAGTTCATTTCCTTAGGATCATCTTATATGGTCATAGCTAGGGAGCTACTCTGCTCATCTGCTAAGATTATCTTAGAAATACACTAGCTATTGCAAATAAGGGAAACCATGAGACCTATGTTTCTTTGGGTTTGGCTTACTTCACTTAACATGATTTTTTTCCAAGTCTTTCCATTTCCTTACGAAGGGGCAGTCATTCTTTCTGATGGAAGCATAGAATTCCAGTGTGTGTGTGTGTGTGTACGTTCTCAACATGGTGACTTTCAGTTTTCTCCATTTTCCTGCAATGACATAATTCTTGTTCATGTTTTGTGTTTTTTTTCTTTTTTTTTTTAAAATTATCTTAAAGTAGTGTAAAGCCAGGACTTTCTTAACAGATGGAGTAGTCCCTTGGCTCTAAACATCAACATCTGGCAGTGGCTTTGGTCTCTGAGGTCTGTATTTATCAGAATAAATGCCAAAGCCTCACCTAACCTTATCAATCCCCACAGTTACATCTCCCTCTTACTACATGCTAACCTGCTGTGTCAAGACAGGGAGGGCTATGTGATCATGTTTATCCTGTGGGACCTCAGGACAAAGGGGTCCCAGGGCTCAGGAAGGGCAGCTAAGTTTGCCAGGGACCTCACAACTGTCCTGTACCATATTTTGTAGCTGGCCATAGAAGACATAGATAAGGTCAAAGTCTGGCAGAAGAGGGCCCAATTAGTCAGTGCCAGAGCCCAGCCACGGTATAGTGAGGGAATCCTTAACTTCCTAGGGGTAGTTTGGAAGCCTGGGGCAGGGGAAACTGCAGTGATATCTAGTCCAGATCATGTCAAAGGTTAAGGCCTAGGTAGGCATCAGTGGCTTACACATATAATCCTAGCTGCTCAGGAGGCAGAGATCTAAGGAGTGATGTTCAAAGCCAGCACTGGCAGGAAAGTCCCTGAGACTCTTATCTCCAATTAACCAGCAAAAAGCCGAGTGGAGCTGTGATTCAAGTGATAGAGTGCTAACCGTTGGCAAAAAATCTAAAGGACCTGTAGCACCCAGGCCCTGGGTTCAAGCCCCAGTACTGGGGGGGCAGGGGGAAGATGAAGGCAGAAAGGAAAGAAAATAAAACTATAAACGTGTCTGAATACTCCTAGCTGACAGGAAGGCAAATGCAATCCTGTCCCCACCTGCCACCATAGAATTAATTCTCTGTCCAGTGGGAAAACATGTAATACCTTTTTTTTTTTTGCCTGTCATGGGGCCTGAACTCTGGGCCTGGGCGCTGTCCCTCAGCTCTTCAGCTCAAGGATAGTGCTCTACCACTTGAGCCACAGCGACACTTCCAGCTTTTTTTGCTTATGTGGTGCTGAGGAATCGAACCCAGGGCCTCATGCATGCAAGGCAAGCACTCTACCACTGAGCCACCTTCCCAGCCCGGCATCATTAATTTTATTTCCAACTTTGGACATTTTTTTCTTTCTTAGTGGTATTGTAGGAGCCTTAAGCCATGCCTCCAGCCCTTTTTGCTTTCGGTTATTTTCAGGAATCTCAAGCTTTTTGCAGGGCCAAACTTCAGACTATGAAGAGCGCTACTCATGCTTCCACACCACTTAGATTACAGGTATGTATTATCATACCTGGCTGGTTTTTTGTTGAGATTTTACCCAGCATGGCCTCAAACTATAATCTTCTTCATCTCTACTTTACATAACTAGGATTACAGGCATAGCTACCATATACAGATAGATGGTTTTTATTGTTTATTAATCTGCATGCCTGATTATTAATAATGCTATCATTTTTGCATAAGTGTCTACTTAATTTTTTCCTCTATAAATCATCTATTGCTTTATGACTTGTGTCCATTTTTAATTGGCACAGTAACACTTCTGTCTTGTAAAGAATATATACTAAATATAACCTTCCATCATAAAAAAGTATGTGATATCTTAAGTGCTTGAATACTGTCCATAGTTGGAACAGAAGATTCTTAGCACTATCAAAAATTCTGCAACTATGAAGGACTCCCCCAAAAGGCTACAGAAAACCACCTAGATAACAAAATAAAACTTATATGCTTATTATTCCCCATAGCTTTTCTAGTATTTATTTCTGTGATGCTGGGCAAGTGCTCTATCACTGAGCTATATCCCTAGCCCCTGATGGTTTTTAATACTTTATCAAATGTCTGACTAGAAGTATTTTTTTAGGGGCTGGGAAGGTGGCTCAGTGGTAGAGCGCTTGCCTTGCATGCATGAGGCCCTGGGTTCGATTCCTCAACACCACATAAGAAAAAAGAAAAAAGCTGGAGGTGGTGCTGTGGCTCAAGTGGTAGAGCGCTAGCCTTGAGCTGAAGAGCTGAGGGACAGTGTCCAGGCCCAGAGTTCAGGCCTCATGACCAGACCCCCCAAAAAATTTTTTTTAATTTCTTTTCCTTTTTTCCTCCCTTTTTTCCTTTCTTCCCTCCCTCCCTCCTTCCCTCTCTCTTTGCCACTTCTGGGGCTTGAACTCAGGGCCCGGGCACTGCCCCTAAGCTCCTTTTGCTCAAGGCTAGCACTCTACCACTTGAACTATAGTCCCATTTCTGGTTTTTTCTGTTTATGTGATACTGAAGAATCAAACCCAGGGCTTCATGCATGCTAGGCAAGCACTCTACTGCTCAGCCACATTCCCAGCAAGGAAACATTCTTTTTTGTTGTTGTTGTTGTTATTTTTTTGTCGGTCGTGGGGCCTGAACTCTGGGCCTGGGCTCTGTCCCTCAGCTCTTCAGCTCAAGGATAGCATTCTACCACTTGAGCCACAGCGCCACTTCCGGCTTTTTTTCTTTTTGCTTATGTGATGCTGAGGAATCGAACCCAGGGCCTCGAGCATGCAAGGCAAGCGCTCTACCACTGAGCCACCTTCCCAGCCCTCTTTAAGCAGATTTTAATGAAACAATATAAAATCCAGCCAGTTTGAAAAAAATACATTATCAACATTAGGTATGTACCATGTTAGCGATTAAGGGGCTGGACCGGGTGCTGGTGGCTCATGCCTATAATCCTAGCTACTCAGGAGGCTGAGATCTGAGGATCACGGTTCAAAGCCAGCCCAGGCAGGAAAGTCTGTGAGACTCTT